CCTGAGCAACAACATAGCACAACATAAAAACAGTGCTGTAGTTTTAAAAGGCCATCTTCCACTCTCTAGAACCCAGTTTTGAAAACTGTGATCACAGCTCCACAGGGTTGTAGAATTGAGCGTGGGGTTGTGAAGACTCAGCAACTGTTAAAGGTTTCTGAGTGTGCAGTGACCAAAAATGAATTCAAGTTCAAAAGCGTAACGGATCCAAGATGCTTCTAGCAGTCCTCACCCATGTTGCATTTCGTGACTTTACTGCAGCCTCGGCCTGAGCACGCACTATGGGCATTCTGTACTGTGAGTGCCATCAGGTAGGATAATGCCAGCGAGACCCACCCCAAAGCCTCAGCTCACATTCAAGACTTCTGTGTGATGAAGTGCTGTGCTAGTCCTGTGTTTACAAAGTTTTCTGCTCTTGCAGAAATGTAACAGTTCCATTCTGGGACAGAAGGACTTTTAATATTTTACAGTACTCAGCGTGTAGGCGTCAGGTTAGACATCCTTGGATTGTATTGTGTCAGAGTGCTGGCTTTAAATTGCTCTTCAAATCAGCTTCATTTTAAGCACGGTGAATGAAGTTTGGCCTGGGATAGAATTTCCAGCAGTTTCTGGAATGGCTCTAGACATAATTCTGTGATTTTTTAAAAATGGATTTATGCAAAGTGGAGTTCTCAGCATCTCTGAATATCAATCAGTTTTGAAAAACTTTGAAAGTCTGATATATTCTGTTGTATTAAATATAATTCCTGTTTCTTTTTGTTGTTTATATTTTGAGTTAGGGTCTTACTCTGTAGCCTGGGCTGATCTGAAACTTACTGTGTAGCCCAGGCTGTCCTCCTGCCTTCTTTCTGAGTCCTGGAAGTATAAGACCTGCCACACATACTCAGGATTTAATTCTCCATGTAAAAATAAACAAGTAATCCATCTCATTAGTATGCAAATTTGCTTTCATCTATAGTAAATAGTAAAATTATATGTATGCCAAAGGATTGCTTTTAAATTTTTTTATGATTATTATCACAAATGTTTGCTATTTGCACCTCCTGTCTATGCTTGTGCACCTGAGGGTGCATGAAGTACCTTGGATGAAAAGGAGCAGGGAATGACCAAGACTGGTAAGCCCTCCTTTCTAGCATTGCTTTGTGTCTCTGTCTCCTCCTAGCTTGGTCCATTTTTACTCCTGTAATTCTTGGGCTACTGAGGGGCAGATGATCAGCATTGTCCACTTGCTGCATAGCTGAGGACCTTGAGCACTTGTGCAGCCTACAGGCACTCCTTGATAAAAAAAACAAGTATTTCCAGAATCTCCTATGATGACAAGTGACTGCCAATCCTTGACTCCAGGGGAGAGTAGAAGAAAAAAAAAAAAAAGAAAAGAAAAGAACGCTCTTAGTCATCCTTTGAGGGGAGGGCAGGTATAGGCACAGGTGCAGCGTGGGAGTAACTGTGCTCAGGGAAGTGTGTGCCAGCTGGGTGTGGTGGCTCACGCCCGGAATTCTAGCACTTGAGAGGCTGAAGCATAAGGATCGCCAGGAGAGGTCAGCCTGGGCTACGCAGTGAGTTCTGTCCCAGCCTGAGCTACAGATGAGACTTTGTCTCAAAACCCAACAAAACAAAACAAAACAAAAAACAAGCAAGGTTTGCCCAGGGATGACCTGTCTGTGCAAAGGAGACTGAGTCAGGAGCCTTAGCAGTTCAGTAGGGGCTTTTGTGGGTTACACAGTAAGACTCTGTTGCCCTCGTGTGTGTGTGTGTGTGTGTGTGTGTGTGTGTGTGTGTGTGAGCACACATGCAGACGTGCATGCACATCTATGTGTGTACGTGTGTTGAGGCCAGAGGATGACAGTGAGGTCTTTCTCTTTACCTTATTTTTCTGAGACAGGGTCTCTCACTGAACCTGGGGCTCATTGATTCAGCTAGGATGACTGGCCAGTAAACCCCAGGGATTCCCCCACATTTTAATCCCCCTTGCACCAGGATTATATGAATGTGCCACTATGCCGAGCTTTTTATGTGGGTGTTGGAGATCTGAACTCAAATCCTCATGCTTATATGGCAGATACTTTATGTACCTAGACATCTCTTTGCCCTCCCAAAATTTAAAATTAATAATTGCTATTTTTCACTTTGGAGAGAATGCTTTGAAACAGATTTCTTTTTTTTTTTTTTCTGCTCTGGCATTTGAACCAAGGACCTTGGACATACTAAGCACAAATTTTACTACAGAGCTATACCCTGATACCTGTAAATGGATCTATTTATTTATGCCTTGGTGTTGCCAAAAATGATTTAAATGTCATCCATTGAAGACTTTACTTTGTGATGGGAAGTGTAGCTCAGTGGTAGAACACTTGTCTAGTATGCTCACGGTCCTGAGTTCAGTTCCTAGCACCAAATGAAAAGAACCCAACAAAAACAAAACAGCTAGTGTCTGTACCCTGACCATTTCCCATCCATTTTAAAACCTTTTAAATGAACATTTCATCTGATTTTGAATCAAGTTGTTGAAAGCATAGGAATATAGTGGTAAAAGCATCTGGTTAGGTGTAGGGTTGTTATTCGCTAGAGGAAATGGGCTCCCAGTCCTTTGTGGTCACTGGGGGCTGGAAGTAGAGAATGTCTGTGTGGCCAGTGGCACATCTCTGTGAGGAGTCTCTGTCAGTCACACTCAGTTCGCTGGGTAAACAGAAACTACAGCTGGATGGCTTTCAAGCCCTGGGTTACAGGACGCCATCTGCGTTTAGATAAGAGAAAGCATGTTTGGTTCTGTTGCTGCCACTAAAAGTGTCATAGCTCTAACTCTGTAGCTCATACGGTTTTCATGATTTCTGGGAAGTTGCAATGCCCTTGGATGGCTCAGCAGGTAAAGGCTCTGCCAACAAGCCTGGAGAACTATATTTAATGCCCCGAACTCACATGGCTGAAGGAGAGACCCAACCCCTTCAGGTCGTCCACTGACCTCTGCATACCGTAGCACGTGCACATTCACCCCAAATTAATAAGTCAAATATTAAAAAATAGGTTGCTTGATGTTCTTAATGTATGGCATATTAAGATATATTTAAATTGGCTATTTTTATTTTTGTCTCACTGTGTAAGAGATCCTAATTTTGGTGCTTAAAAAATGTGATCATGGCACTGGAGAGATGGCTCAGTGGTTTGATGCTTCTTTCTTTCAGAGGAGCAGCACCTGTGTCAGGCAACTGCCTTAACTCCAGCTCCAGGGAACCCGACTCCCTCTCCTGGCCTATGCTGCCACTGCACTCACACGGCGTATACTCTAGACAAATACACACACAAATAAACAATACCAACGGTCTTTAAAGACCGTGTCTATGCTATATTGGCACACTGGTACATTTTGTCACTCATAAACAAATCACTGCATGACAGTAATGTCTGTTTAGGTCTGTCCTGAATGGGGTATAGGCAGACAGGCCTGGAGACAGTGGCTCTGGCCATTGGCTCTGTGTTGTCCCTCTGTGACTCTCATAAGCTGTGATTGATGAGTTTCATTTCCTTACTGGATGAACTGGAGCTGGTCGAGTTCTTACTCAGTGTATTGGGTCAGCAGACAGAGGCAGCCACCAGGGAGTGCTTTCTGCCTGGAATGAACAAACACAGTCTTCTAAGGCTTAGAAGGGGACCCATTCGTCTTGACATCTCATCACTGTCTTTGCCGCCAGCTGTGTGTATGCAGGTGCTGGCATATGTACATGTATGTGGAAGCCGGTGGTCAGCTTTGGGTCCCATTCCCTGGGAGCCTTACCTTCTCACTGGGACCTGGGGCTTGCTGATGAGGTGAGGCTGTCCAGCTAGCAAGCCTTGGGGATCTGCCTATCTCCCCATCTCTGGTTGATATTGGGGTTGTAAGTGTGCACCACCAGGCTCAGCTTTTTATGTGGGTTTTGGAATCACAGTCAGCTCCTCATGCTTCTGTGGCATGCATTTTACAGACAGCCACCTTCCCAGCGCCTTGGCTGTCAGCCTCTGTGTTCCACTCTGCCACTGCGCTGGTTCAGTGGAGGAGTCCTGGTAGCCAAAGGCAGCCAAGATTTCCCAATTTGACTGAGGAAGTCAGCCTCCTCTGCTATTGGAAGGTGTCAGGTGCTGTCTCCGGTATATGAGCCTGGCTGCTGGTGATGTGTCAGGAGCCAAACCCAGGTGCTTCTCTGTGTGGTGTCTCTTAAAGCTGGTCTGATTTCTTGGTGCAGATTTGGACAAATTAAGTGTGACAGATAAGAAACCCATCCATGCTGTGGGATGCACAAGTCACACTGAGCGGTGGAGGGAGTGCTGGCTTTACCCGGTTCTGAATGATGGACACTTCTGATGTTTATATTGCTCACCTCTAGGAAACCATAGCGACAGCTGTTTCCACACCGTATGTACCTGTATGTGTCAGATATTTACCACAGTGCACACAGGGACTCGATACCCATTTATGATGATGTGAAAAGTGGCAGGGCTGTCTCGAGTCCTGTAGAGCTAGTGAGACCCCAGTGAGCCACACCTGATGTCCATTCTGTAGCTGGACTGCTGTGCGGGTCACTGTCATTTGTGGCCCAGCATGTCAGGTCACCTGCACCTGCTGTACTCTGTAACAAGCCCATCTTCATTTTTATAAGAATTTGAAGATGTATCCTGGAATAAATTCCAACCAACTCTACTTTTAGATTTTAGATAAACAATCTCCTGTATTGCCCATGCAGCGTGAGAAATTTCCCGAGCCTCCCTGAACCCGTTTTCAGCTGTCCTGTGGTTAAATGAGATGACACTCATGACTCTCACAGACCAGGGAGAGATCGAGTCCTGGGATCAACTGCCTGGCAGGGGAGGGGTTTGACAGGGAGTGGAAATGAGCTGCCTGCCACCTTGCTCTGTTTCCAGAAGGTTCACACTGGGCCACATAGGCTCTTGTGAGCTGTGTGAATATCTCCACTTTGAAATCCGTGTGATCTGAGTATTTTCTCACTCTTTCTTGTCTGTCTATGTTGCAGGGACCCAAGTATTTAGTGGTCGGAGTGACTTCAGAATCACCACCTTGAAATTTCATCCAAAAGATCACAACGTCTTTTTATGTGGCGGCTTCAGCTCTGAAATCAAAGCTTGGGACATGAGGACTGGCAAGGTGACACCTTTTTTCTGAGGCTGGCCTTTCATGTGTGGGGAATGTGTGTGTGTGGGGGGAGAAGGAGGGCTGTGCATGTGTGTGTGTGTGTGTGTGTGTGGCTGTGCATGTGTATGTGTGTGTAGGACAGAGATCCACCTTGGGTGTCTCAGGAACTGTCACCTGTGTTTTGAGATGCTGGGACCCAGGCCTTTCTGATCGGGTAGACTGGCTAGGCAGAGTGCTTCAGGGCTCCGGCTGTCCTGCCTCCCCAGTGCTGGGAGTGCAGTCTCACACCACTGCACCTGACCTTCTGCATGGCTCTGGAGATTGAATTAAGGGACTCAACGCTTACAAGACAAGCTTTACTGACTAAGCCATCTGCTTAGTGCCTGCTGGGCCATCCTTTCTATGGGAGAACTGTCCTTCATAATTCGAACAAGTAGGGACAGATCTGCACCTGTATATTTGAGGCAGAATAGTTTTGGCTTCATATTTAATGAGGTCTGAGCATCATTTTTAGAGGTTTTAGAGGGTAGTTTAGATATTGAAACATCACAGGTACAAGTTTATGCAGTGTCTCACTGTGAAGATTTGTTGAGAACCTACTGCGTGTGGGAAATGAGTCAGCCTGCTCCAGCAGATAGACAGCTCCAGTGCAGAGAACGTCCTGCAGTGTGTGCATGGACACGCACGGAGAAGCACAATGCTGGCCAGCTTATGTTGAGAGGCCTTCCTGGAGGAGGTGTTGGCCTCAGGGGCCTTAAAAACTGGGGGTCTTCCACTCCTACCCTGCTGCAGTCTGAAGCTCCAGTTGTCCTTGTCTCTTAACACATGATGACTCAGATTTGGGTCCCAAACACCAGTCCCGTCTCTGCTCTTCCTATTGAACCCCCATTGTAATTGCCAGCAAACCATGTTCTTCCCTTCATAGCATCAGCCCTTCTGCCCATGTCCACTGCTTTGTGGCTGGCTGGAGCGCCATTGTCTTGAGTTAGGAGAGCTTGGGGTTTCTGTTTGCTTACCCTTGCTGCTGGCCTTACAGTTGTTTGCCACACAGCAGCGGCGTGATCTAAATCAGATGGTTCCGTCCTCCGGCAGCATCTCCAGGTTCCTGTCTTAATTGCAGCGAAAGCCCATGATCCACAAGGCTTAAATGATCTCCCCAAAGCCCTTGATTATGAGCCCCGCCCTTCCCCACTCTGCCTTTCCCAGAATATGGTGCACATTTGCTGCCTGTGTACTGACGCTCCTCCAGTTTTCTGTGTAGAGTATGTTCCCAGAGGGACCGTCACTCAAATGCCACTTTCCCTGCCTGCCACCTTCCTCGGGTTCACTGGTCCCCTCTGCTACTTTATTCCTCTCCATGGCTCTTCCCATCAGTTGGCACAGCTTAGAGTTTTCATGTTCTTGTATTCGCCTGTCTCCCTTCCCTCAAATGTGAGCTTTTGTGGGGCAAAGATTCTGTGGTTTGCTGGAATGCCTGGCTCAGGCAGGCGCTTGGCGAGCCATGACTGACTGAATGAGTTAAGGAGGATGGCCATGTGAACTGTGCATATATGGGAGGTAGGAGTGTGAGCTCTGAGAGAGATATATAGACTTGACTGGCGAGGGCACTGGGCAGCAGGATGGGCTAGGAAGAGACCGTCAGTGCTGTGTTTTGGCCAGGGCCAAAGGAGGGTTGTCCAGTCAGAACTATTGCTGTGGCCCTGTGGAGGTTGGTGGGCTGGGCTGAGGAAGGGCTCTGTGTTGGTAACAATGGCCGTGGAGTAGGTGGAGAGCAGAGGTGTGTGAGAGGCTTGTCAGGACTATGACTGAGGGACTCGGTGACTTCAGGTTGTTTTCAGTTTGTCCTAGGAAGATCGAGGCATAGCCTGTGCCATTCCTGCACCCTGTTCTGTTTGCGTGAAAGCTCATAGGGAAGAAAGAGGTACAGGGCAGCAGGAGGTGTCCTCTTCCATTTCATCATGGAGAGGACCAGTGTCGTAGGGTCTGTAGCACTAGGAGGACCTACCCGAAGTCATCCATGTCACCTGGGGATACCCCATCCTGGTGACACTGGTTGTGGAGTTGATGTGGGACAATGCAGCAAAGCCTCCAAAGCCCAGAGTCTCTATCCATATCCACACTGTGTACCAGACTAGCTTTCCAGAAAGGCGGTACCCTGCAGGCTCTGGAAGGTCTATGGGCTTCTGAGCAGAACCTACAAATAGGGATCCTTGCTTCAGAGTACTTTGTGGGTCTCTTCCTTGAGACGCTTCTTAAATGGCAACATAGACCCATACACTTTCAAAATACTACTTTTCTTTTGAAGAAGAAATGTTTTACAAAAATAAGAGGAATATTACCCATAAACTAGTGGGCATAGTGGAATTTTTGAAAACACTAGAGCACCTCCCTTTTTTAGGACACAAATATGTAAGAAATAGAAGGAAACATTTGAGCATGGTATGCAAATCAAAAATTTGTAGCCAGGTGATGGTAGCACACACCTTTAATCCTAGCTCTTGGGAAACAGAGACAGAGGGATCTCCTAGTTTGAGGCCCTCTTGGTCTACAGGGCGAGTTCCAGGACAGCCAGGGCTACACAGAGAAACCCTGTGCTGAACAGCCAAAAAAAGAAACCTTGTAAGCAGACCTTTGGTGTGGGACCACTGTCTGGCCCAGCTCTCCTGTAAAGGTGCGTTCTGTGTTTTTGGCCTCAAAGACCAAACACATAAGAAATTACTCACTCTGGATGCCATCTGATTTAAGAGTTTGTTGCAAATACCAGCTTTTCTCCTGGGGCAAACGCCAGCTGACGAGTTCTGGGGAGAAGCAATCAGAAGCAGATGTTGCTGTTGCTGCTATCGGCACGTTTGTGAGTCTCTCCCAAGCTAATAACGTGGGTGGAGGGATCTGTGCAGTGTTTGTTTTTACTTCCTCTTCGCCAACAGTCCTCCCACACAGGGTCACCGAGCGTGGGGCACAGCGGCTCTGTTTGCATCAGCTGGGCTCTGGGGACCAGCACACTTCCCTGCTTTGACACTGCTGCTGCTGGTCAGTGATTGGGGCCGCAGGGGCTCTGTCCCTGGTGCTGAAGTCTGTGGCGAGCAATGTGGCCCTTTTCTCTCCTTTTGTTTTAGAGGTAGTCTTGGCTCATCTGGAACTCTCTGTGTAGACCAGGCTGACCTCAGAGATCTGACTGCCTCTGCTTCTATACCCAGCAGTGTGGCCCTTTTCTGACCATCCTGTCTGGGCTGCAGTAGGCAAATAGGTAGAAGCAGGAGGGACAAAGACCCTTGGCTCACAGTCAAACTGAGCTTTCTTGTGTCACCACCCAGGAAAGGAGTGCTTATGGGATAGCAGTGTGCAGTCTTATGACTGGCAGTTCAGGGGGAGAGGCCAGAGAGTCCACCAGGTACAGAGACATGGTGATGTTTGGCTGTTTTCCTTGCACTGCTCCCGGTACCTTCTGGTCTCTTTTTAAATATAGAGCTAAAGAGCCAGTTTAGTTTCCCCTCTCCCCTTGCCCACTGTCAACTCTTGTAACGGTTTTGCTTGAGATCAAGTTTCTGTGATACCCTTTGGCTTCATGTGTCTTCCTCACTTGCTCCCGCCTTATTTCCCGTGCCCAGCACAGCATCTGATAGGCACCTGGTAGACTTCTATGTAGAAGGAATCAAAAAAAAAAAAAAGGTTTCTTCAACTCACCTTCTATTTATTTTTTGTAAATAAAGTTTTATTTGAACACGGCCACATGAATTCATTTATGTCCCCTCTGTGGCTGCTTTCATACCACAGTAGTGGAGCAGAGACTGCACAGCCTGCAGAGCCCCAGATACATAGTGTGTCTGACGCTGAGCATCGAGGGACCTGGCTCTGACAACTGTTTGGGACTAACCTTCGTGAGCTGCTGATGAAGTGGGACCCGTTGTACCTGGCCCTCTTCCATGCGTTTTCACAGATACCATGTGCTCAGAGAATTTTTTTTTCTGGATAGTTCTCCAGCCAGTGGTGTTTGGGTCATTTTTCTTTTTCCTCTTAGTGGACTATTAAGGTTGACCGTCATGCAGTCCACCACAGAGGTATCTTTGTTCCAGGAGCTGTTCCACACCAGGGATTGAGACTCTTAAGCTCAAGAAGAACTCAAGTTCTGGGTCAATGTAAGCCAACATTTTGCAGGCAAGGAACAGGCTTCTGCCGTCAAGACCAGGGGTCTAAGCCCATCACTGTGGAACCACTTCAGGCCAGCAGCCTCACCCGAAGACTTCAGGCACAAGCTCTGATGAATAGTTGGAGTGTAACTTTGAAGCCAGTAGATTTTTTTTTTCTGAATCTTGAAACTCAGCAAAATGTCAAATGTTGGGATTCTGGCTCCATCCAGCCCAGCCTGGTTCATTATGGAAAATGGGCTGCTTGGCTCTCTTCCTCCTTTCTTGGCTGCTCTCTTTGCCATGGCCTGATGACTGAAGTCCCATCTCATCACGACAAAGTGCCAGGCTTCACTTCCAGCATCTTCTCTGGGAGGGCTGTTGTCTGGTACCCAGGGTGTCCTTAGTCTGGCTTCCATGGTGCTGTGGGTGCCCCTCTCTCCCGAACCAGGGCCTTGAGCTGCAGGAGACTGAGTTTCAAATACTCCCTTTGCTACTGGGTGATCCAAGGCAAAATAGGCAAACCTGTTGTGGTGCACAGTCCCTCGTTATTGTGGCAGAAGGAAATAGAGAAGATGTCCGCAGAGCAGGGTTCTCATGTTGGCCACATGGAGGAGAACTCCAGCCCTCATTAGGTATAGATTTTTGCCTCCATAGTCCCCTATGGGGCAAGTTCTGCATGTCAGCAGACTCCAAGGAATGCAGAAGGAGCCGAGAGTGAAAACCTTTGAGAAACTAGTTTGAAACCTCTGAACTCAGTGGTACCCGGCTTCTCTCATGTGAACCCTTTGAGCCTTTGACTCAGTGGGTCTGTACCAGCTGTGATCCTTTTCCATGACTGTGGCAGCTTCTGGTCTCTTGGGCACCTATGGCTTCTTCATCCCCAGG